AGAGCTCAATGTTTATTTTATTAAACAAAGCAAATTTTCTTTACAATTGGAATTAAGATACCTTTAGTTAATGGTTATTTTCACCTACGAATTTTAATTTTAAAATTCTCAGGATTTTTCAAACTGTCTTTATCTTTATTCCAATTGTAAAAATATATATATATATATATATATATATATATATATATATATATATATATATATTGTATGTATTTAGGCAGCATTTTTTCATTGACACATGTTTCATTAAATAATACAGACAAGTTTTGTCTATTTTATGTAAATTCTTTTCATAACGTCTGATAAGTTTAATAACATTATCATTGAAAGATGAAAGAAAATTACCATATTGATACATATTTTTAATCCTAAGCTTTCGACTTACATAAGCTATTATCAAAGATGACAATTACATTACAATATATTAAACAATACACGGACAAAACAACAATGATAGTCTGTTTTTGTTTACATGGAAGATTTCCAAGCAACGACAAACTCGTGCATACTAGACGCTGGAAACGAAAATCGCACCGCATATATATGCTTTGAGAGCCCGACCTGCACTAGGGTGTGCAAGTCTAGGCCGCGCATGAAAATGCATATATCAAAAGACACATTGGAAGTGATGATGATTAAAAATTTCTTTCACAACTCGGAGATGATTTAATTTGTCAGTTATACCCAAGAGATAACTATCAAATTTGCAAAAGAGAAATCTCTCTTCTTCTAAGTATTAACAAAATTAAATGTTTAAACTAATTTTCTTTTTGCTGTTAATGTTTGAAATGTTTTTTTTTGTAAAACAAAAAACAATAATAGAAATTGCTTCATTCTACTTCAATATTTTTCTGTCTTTTCCAGTGCCTCCTCGTATGCGTTTGGAACCACCAGAGCTTATTGATGATGGCTCAAATGTGGCTTGGCTTATATGGAAGCCGGCTGCAGTGCCACATACAACCAGAATGGCCATGACAAAATTCATTACCTATTTCATTGAGATGAGGATTCCACCATGTCATGATTGGAATTCTGTTGTAAAGAATTTAGTCGCTACAAAATATAAACTCACTGACCTCATGCCTGATAGAAATTATGTCTTCCGTGTTCGGTGTTTTAATGAATTTGCAGGAGGAGAAGCCACATTAACAGTGATATTGAGAAGAACCATCAATGGTGAAAGTTTATTAATCTTTTTTTTTTTTGTTGTTTAGGTTGGGTTGTTGGTGTGGGGCGATGTTGGCTATTATGGTTTATTTAACAATACACGGACAAAACAATAATGATAGTCTGTTTTTGTTTACATGGAAGATTTCCAAGCAACGGCAAACACGTGCATACGAGACGCTGGAAACGAAAATCACACCGCATATATATATGCTTTGAGAACCCGATCTGCACTTGTATGTATAATGTAAATATTGGTAGGTCGTTTTAAATTTGGAAAACAGTTTATTACCAGATGTGTCATGGTTAATAGGTTCACTTTATCCTACCAATATAATGTCACCTTATGACAAAGTTCATTTATATATATATTCATATGCTTAAGAAAATGAATACCAGAAAAAAAAATGCCGATCGATGGCTGGCTTTATGAGCAACTGTCGTTCTCACAACCAATGAATACAGTGTTATTGTGTGTGTGTGTGCTTGTGTGATGGGGGTTGACTGAAAAACTGGACTTGTCAGTGATGGTCATACTCGCTTTGTGAGTCGACAGCTAGTATAGATCGCTGGTATATGGTTTATAATAACCAAGTCTACGTCAAGGAATTCGATCACTTTAGAATCGATAGTTGCGATAATATTTAGTTCGTGATCCTTGAAGAATTTTATGAGTTCCTTTCTCGATCGGTCAATATTTCTTAAACTAATTTTTACGGACAAGAATTACGTATATCTCTATAGAGACCGATGTCCTTAATGTCGAAAATAAATCTCATCACCTCTCTGGGTAACGAAAATAAAACAGTACTGAACTGTTTTGTAATATCGGTCCCTCTATACGGCAGTCAATGCTTGACCATCTCATCAAAGAAGGAGAAGAGACTTCAGATGTGGTTCTGCAAAAAGATGCTGAGAATGCGATGGACTGGGCACGTGACCAACGACAAAAGGTTTAGAAAAAGGGGACAGCTGAAATATTTAGGGCATATCATGTGGAAAGACGGCATGATCACCAACGTTCTGAAAGGAGATGACACATAGAAGAAAGAGCTTATGTAAATGGTTGGCAGAACAGGGATTAGGAAAGGAAAGAAAAAGACAAAATTTATTAAGAGCTACAAAGGACAGGAAGCTGTGAAGAGCCATGATCGTCAACGTCCTGAAAGGACATGACAGATAGAAGAAAGAGCTTGTGTAAATGGTTGGCAGAACAGGGATTAGGAGAGGAAAGAAAAAGACAAAATTTATTAAGAGCTACAAAGGACAGGAAGCTGTGAAGAGCCATGATCGCCAACGTCCTGAACGGACATGACAGATAGAAGAAAGAGCTTGTGTAAATGGTTGGCAGAACAGGGATTAGGAAAGGAAAGAAAAAGACAAAATTTATTAAGAGCTACAAAGGACAGGAAGCTATGAAGAGCCATGATCACCAACGTCCTGAACGGACATGACACATAGAAGAAAGAGCTTGTGTAAATGGTTGGCTGTACAGGGATTAGAAGAGAAACAAAAAAGACACATTTTCCGTTTCTTGTTTCAGTTTTCTTGATAATTTTGTGGCATTATTATCTAATTTGCCACAGTTTCCAAAATATAAACCGAAATCTCTTACATATTTTGCGGACTTCAGAATAATTTTTTTGCTTCTTTTTTTTCAGGTCTCATTACGAGTTGTAACATTTTGTCGTGTATAGTTGCAAGATACTTAAAAAGTCTTATTTTTGAATCATTATTATTATTATTGTGGGGTACCATCTTGCCAGAGAATAATTTTAAGTGTTTAATTAACAAGTCCGCTATGGGATCTGAATAAAAAGAGGGAGAACGTCTGTCGTAGTTCTGCTCTCAGTTCAATGACGTGCCATACGTGATCCAAGCTTAGGCGATCATGTATCTTTCGATACATGACTGACGAGGCAGATTTTTACCAGCAGTAGGTTGCAATATGTTTTTGCGGTAGATCAGTTGCTATCCAAGGCTATCGAACCCGGTCTGTCCTGCTATTTACCCATAGTTGGATGGGGAGAAGCAGAGGCTACATACCTTTCCCAGGGTTATTTACATTATACATACTCTATTCTCTCAGTAATGCTTGCCTTCCTTCCTCACCATTGACAATCCCTCACTTCTTCATTTTCAATGCATTCCTATAGTAAAATCATTAGTAATCATTCACTCAGTTACGTGCCATGCGTGATATACTTATGCATTCCTATTGTACAATCATTAGTAATGCATTTACATTATACATATAATAGTCCTATTCTATGATTAATGCTTGCATTCATTCCTGACCACTGACAAACCTTTCTCATTTTCAATCATTCCTATTTACAATCATGTAATTCATTTACATTATACATATAATAGCCCTATTCTATTAGTAATGCTTGCATTTATTAGTAATCAATCCCTTTCTTCCTCATTTCAATGTATAGTAAAATCGTGCATTATACATATAATAGCCCTATTCTATGAGTAATGCTTGCATTCATTCCTGACCACTGACAATACCTTCCTCATTTTCAATGCATTCCTATAGTAAAATCATTAGTAATCAGTCAGTCAGTTACGTGCCATGCGTGATATACGGTTAGGCGATCATGTATCTTTCGATACGTGACTGACGAGGCAGATTTTTTCCCCGCAGTAGGTTGTCATTTCTTTCTGCAGTAGACCAGTTGCAATCCAAGACTATACAGCCCGGTCTGTGCTGCTATTTACCCATAGCTGCGGATTCATACTTTTCCCAAGGGTGTTTACATTATACATACTCTATTCTCTCAGTAATACTTGCCTTCATTCCTGACCACTGACAATCCCTCTTTCTCATTTTCAATGCATTCTTATAGTAAAATCATTAGCAATGCATTTCCATTGTACACATAATAGCCCTATTCTATTAGTAATGCTTGCATTCATTCCTGACCACTGACAATACCTTTCTCATTTTCAATGCATTCCTATAGTAAAATCATTAGCAATGCATTTACATTATACATATAATAGTCCTATTCTATGAGTAATGCTTGCATTCATTCCTGACCACTGACAATACCTCTCTTCCTCATTTTCATAGCATTCCTATAGTAAAATCGTTAGTAATCAGTCAGTCAGTTATGTGCCATGCGTGATATATGCTTAGGCGATCATGTATCTTTCGATACGTGACAGACGAGGCAGATTTTTCCCCGCAGTAGGTTGCCATTTCTTTCTGCAGTAGACCAGTTGCCATCCAAGGCTATAGAACCCGGTATGTCCTGCTATTTATCCATAGCCAGTGGTGGGGAGAAAATAGGATTTATGCCTTTTCCCAAGGGTATTAGCACGTAAGTGAATGGATTCAATTGCAATTCGAACTCGGCTCTCCGATTCCTCAATCCGAACCGCTATCCTTTATGTCTGGTCTTTTTGTATCCATTCCCTGTCTCTGAAAATTGGGAAATTCCACATTATAATGACTCCATCACCATTTGTGATGCTCGTAACCATTGATGAGGGTCATCCTTATTAATTAATTAATCTGATTAATTAATAATTTACCTTAATTAATTAAACAAGGATGAAACAATGCTATCAAGATAAACCTTTGAATTAATCTGATTAATACAAAGGTTTATCTTGCTGGCGTTGTTTCATTCTTGTTTTTCTTTCTCATAATTTTTGTTGCAGTAGTTGGTTGCTGGGTTCTGTTTTGGTTTTCTATGTAATCTACTAAATATACCAACAACATTACTTGTATAAGCGATGATTATTATTAACCATTTATCAAACTTTTTTTTCTCCGCTTAAGAAAGCAATGTAAAACTATTGTCCACGCCTTATATCACGAGACAAGAAAATACGATGGCAGGCGGATTTGCCTCTTTCCCTGTTTGAGCTGCATTGAACAACCGACCACGTCAGGGTCAGCGACCTCTTCGATAGGCGCCCCCATCAAATTGCATTAACATACCAACAAAATTACTTTCTGGAAACTTCAAAGTGGACATATTTTTACCGAATGAATTTCTCCTTCTCAATTTATTTCTTCCAATCTACGTAATCGCATATCGGTAAATTAGGAAATAATCTATACATCGAAGGGTGTGACTTTATCTGCTTCTCTGTGTCACTGTGAGTAACAATTAGCAACCCGACATCAATACGCATAACGAGAACAACTGATGTTCTAGCAACACGGTACACGTTTTCATTGAGTGACACCAACAATTTACCCTTCGTCAGATAATTGTTAAATTACTTTAAATATTCAGTAGTTTATTATTATTATTATTTTTATTTTCTTTGATTTCTGGCGTTTACACATTTCTTTCCGGGTCCCGCCCAGGGACCTAAAGTTTGAAATGGCATCATGACACTTTCCACTGACAAAAAAAAAAAAAAAAAAATTACATAGATAAAGCCCTTTGTAAAGTGTGGGCTGTACTTGTCAGAACAATCTTTTGTATCTCTTTGAGGCATGAACTTCCAGGAATCCCTTCAGTTAGTCTACTGCAATCTTTTCCAACCAGTCCTAGGGCTCCAACTACAACAAGGATTGTTGATGTTCCCATATGCCACATTTTTGAGATTTCTATTTCAAAGTCCTTGTATTTTGACAACTTTTTGAATATCTTCAAAGATACATTGCAGTCAGCAGGGACTGCCATATCAATAAGGAGGCACCTGATACAAGATGATCAATCGTTTCTGGATATTTATCACAGAATCTGTATTTTGGGCTGACACAATATTTTAGTATATGTGCTTGATAATTCCTACTTAGCAAGCATTGGTCCTGCGCAGCAAGGATAAAACCTTCAGTTTCCGCTTTCAACCCTGCACTACGTAGCCACTGATGGGTACGGGTTTTGTCTACGTCAGCTTGTTTGGTACGGGCAGAGTATTGGCCATGAAGCGGTTTATCTTGCCATCGCTTCTGTATCTGGTCGGTTGCATTAGTCTTTCCTGTCTTTTTTAGGTATTTTGCAGTTTCAGCCGGTGTATTGTGCTGTAGTTGCATCTCTACGCCCATTTGAAACTCCATTTTGAATTTGTTGGCTTCTTTCATTACGGAGTAAAGACGCTTACTACTTTCATGTTCCTTGACGTATACCATCATCCAGTCTTTTGTCGTTTCCAAATATCTTTGGAGGCCAATTGTTGTAGTTTTGTAGGACAGTTCTAGTTGAACTAATCCTCTGCCTCCTTCGGATCTGGGCACATACAGACGATCGACATCAGCTTTGGGATGATGCATGCGATAGCAAGTGAGAAGCTTTCTCGTTTTGGTGTTCATTCGCTTAATTTCAACTATGGTCCAGTTAAGGACATTAAAGCTGTATTGCACAACAGGGAGAGCCAATGTGTTTATGGCTGATATCTGTTTTTTGAGTTTAGCTCAGTATTTAGTACCAGAAGTACACGCCTGTAGTACTCTTTTCTTATTTTTTTCCTTCATTTTGGGGTGTTGTATGCCATCTCCTTCGCTAATTATTATTATTATTATTATTATTATTATTATTATTATTATTATTATTATTTTCTTTGATTTCTGGCGTTTACACATTTCTTTCCGGGTCCTGCCTAGGGACCTATGGTTTGAAATGGCATCATGACACTTACCACTGACAAAAAAAAAAAAAAAAAAAAATTACATAGATAAAGCCCTTTGTAAAGTGTGGGCTGTAATTGTCAGAACAATTTTTTGTATCTTCTTGAGGCATGGACTTCCAGGAATCCCTTCAATTAATCTGCTGGAATCTTTTCTAACCAGTCCTAGGGCTCCAACTACAACAAGGATTGTTGATGTTCCCATATGCCACATTTTCGAAATTTCTATTTCAAGGTCCTTGTATTTTGACAACTTTTTGAATATCTTCAAAGATACATTGCAGTCAGCAGGGACTGCCATATCAATAAGGAGGCATCGTTTTTGTTTGTGGTCTTTAATAACAATATCTGGGCGGTTGACCTTGATTGTTCTGTCAGTGTGTATTGTGTAGTCCCATAGAATTGTAACAGGTCCTATCTCCGTAACCGGGTCTGGATGATGTTCATACCAGTTTCTTTATCATTATTATTATTATTATTATTTTGTTTCCTTCGGTTTCTCATTTCTCATTTCTTTCCGGATCCCAACCAGAGACCTAATGTCAGAAATGACATCATGACATTTTCCACTTAGCAGTTTGTTTGTTTTTTTAAATATATATCGTACATATTTTATATAGTAAAATGTGAGCTGTACGTGGCTTTATGATCCCTAATCACGATCTCAAAGCGATTAGATTTAATTGTTCATTTTCTGTGTATTGTAAAATTCTAGAAAATTGTGACAGATCCTATTATTATTATTATTATTATTATTATTAGTAGTAGTAGTAGTAGTATTTTTTCTTCCGTAAGGTTTTTCGTTTTCGACCGAAGATCTTGCATTATGGGTATTCTCCATAATTCGTACGACCTCAGACAGCACCGTTCATAGAATATTTGGAAAGCCCAGCAAGGCAAACTTTATTATTATTATTATTATTATTATTTCCTTTGATTTCTGGCGTGTACACATTTCTTTCCGGGTCCCAACCAGAGATAACTAAGGTTAGATATGATATTTTCCACTGACCAACTAAAAAAAATAAAAGACATACACACACATACATTTAAATAGATAAAGCCCTTCGTGAGGTGTGGGCTGTACTCGTTGGAACAAATTTCTTTGAGGCATGGGCTACCAGGAATCCCTTCAATCAATCTATTGGAATCGTTTCCATTCAATCCGAGGGCTCCAACTACAGCTGTAATTATTATTATTATTATTATTATTATTATTATTATTATTATTATTATTATTTCCTTTGATTTCTGGTATATACACATTTCCTTCCGGGTCCCAACTAGAGACCTAAGGATAGAAATGGCATCATGACATTTTCCATTGAGCAGTTTTGAAAAACAAATCACATACTTTATATAGATAAAGCAAATCGCAAGGTGTTGGCTGTACTCGAGAGAACAATTTTTTGTATTTCTTTAAGGTACGGGCTTCCAGGAATTCCTTCACTGAGTCTATTAGAATCTTTTCCAATCAATCCGAGGGCTCCAACTACAACTGGAATTTTTGATATCCTCATGTGCCACATTTTGAGATTTCCATTTCAAGGTCCTTTTATTTTGATAGCTTTTTGAAGATTTTTAAAGATACATTACCATCTGCAGGGACTGCCATGTAAATAAGGAGGCACCTTTTTGTCTTTTCAGTCTCTAATCACGATGTCTGGGTTTGATTTTTCTGACTGTGTGTATTGTAAAATCCCATAAAATGGTTAGAGGTCCAATCTTTGTAACAAGTTCTGGGTGGTGTTCATACCAATTTTTTGCAGTTGCCTTTAAGTAGAGGTTGCAAATTTTCGAGTGCAAATTTTGGCTCACTCGATCATGCTGAGTCTTATTCAGTAGGTGGCAATACATCAGATGGTTAATTGTTTCTGGATATTTATCGCAAAATCTGCATTTTGGGCTAACACGTCTTTTTGTCTAATTAGCAAACATTGATTCTGTGCAGCAAGAATCAAACCTTGGGTTTCAGCTTTTTCCCCTGCACAACGTAAATAATCGCATAACCCTTAAGAAAACATTTTGGACCTCATTTGGTTTGGAATCATTGCTTTGAGCAGTTCTTCACAGAAATAAACAAACTAAAGATGCCTTTTTGCAGAAGAAAAAAAAATGAAATCTATATAAATCGAATAAGTGTGAAATCGAGAGCATTTAAACACGTCTCCACCAAACAGTGTTGATGAGCCAATTACTTTAGAAACTTAATTAATTAATTGAAACTGCCCAGTCGATGAGATGAGGTCGAGTTTGACACGCTGATTGTGAAATATCAAAGGCACTCCTGAAAAAAAAAAAACGCAACACACAACAGCCCCCCCAACCTGATTTCAAAAAGGATAGGTTTCTGTGAATTGTCTGTAAATTGAAATGATCGAAATAACCCAGAAAGTTGGCGACCGTGTCTCTCCTTGTTTTCTCATAGTTCTTAATAAAAATTGTCTTGTGAGGAGATTGTCCATCATTCACTGTCAGATAGGAGTACTGATATTACATAACAGTTCAGTACAATTTTCTTTGTTTCTCTTGCTTCAAGTTTTTTCTTCATTTGTGTGGAGATTGTCCAGCATTCACTGCTATATAGGAGGACTGATTTTACATAGCAGTTCAGTACTCTTTTCTTTGTTTCTCTTGCTTTAAGTCTTTTCTTCATCTGTCAGGAGATTGTCCAGATTGTCCATTTCATTCACTGCCATTTGTTCAGGACTTTTGATATTCAACAGGAACAGTTCAGCCATATAGGAGGACTGATATTACATCAGTTTTTCTTTTCTTTTCTCTTGCTTCAAGTCTCTTCTTCATCTGTAAGGAGATTGTCCAGCATTCACTGCCATATAGGAGGACTGATACATAACAGTTCAACAGTTTTCTTGCTTCAACTCTTTTCTTTGTTTCTCTTGCTTCAAGTCTCTTCTTCATCTTTAAGGAGATTGTCCAGCATTCACTGCCATATAAGTGGACTGATATTACATAACAGTTCAGTACTCTTTTTTTGTTTCTCTTGCTTCAAGTCTCTTCTTCATCTGTGAGGAAATTGTTCAGCATCCACTGTCATATTGGAGGACTGATATTAAATAACAGTTCAGTACTATTTTCTTTGTTTCTCTTGCTTCAAGTCACTTCTTCATTCACTGCTATATAGGATGACGATATTACATAACAGTTCAGTAGTCTTTTATTCCTTTCTAATGATATTTTTCTGTTTCTTAATACTTTGCTTAGCTTTTGGAAGGCAACTTTTGTTATCCAAATGCATTCTTCGAATGTCAGTGTCGCCCTTTCTGTCTTCTATTAAAACGCTTGTTTGGTTTTAGCATTCGCGAAAAAGAAAAGACTCGA